AAGGAAGGAAGGAAGGAAGACAGGCTATCACTCTTCTGTACAAATGATTCTGGTAACAATAATTGGCCCCTCCCAGAAAAGGTCCTAGAGTGTGATTAAGGGTTAGCTCCATGCTGGTGGTTTCCTGTCCACTGCCTGCAATGAACACGTTACCAGGGAAAGCCTAGCATGAAATCAACAAGGAAAACAAAACAAAACCCTTCTCACTTACAGTTTCTTTTCCAAAAAACTAGGAAATTAGACATCATGAAATCTAACTAAAAAAAATTCGAACTAAAAGTGCTCTGCAGTTATAAATTGCCAGGAAGCCAGTAGATTTTCATGGAAGCAGCAAAATAAACTTTACTCAGCATGGCATAAAGAGCAACAGCAGACCAAACACTGGCTGGAGAAATGTAAAAGGGCAAAAAAGAAAAAAGAAAGTTTATTTGAATTTAAACCCCAATTTTTAAAAAGGTGCAATTTCAATTTGTTCATTTGTACTTATATTCAAGCTACTACAGTTTTAACATTAAAAACAAAAAACTATCTTGCATGGTGAAAATCATTTGTGGCATGTTACATGTCTGCATGGTCAATAATTACAACTTTCATTATTTTAAAACACTAATATTATTAAGTAAAACAAATGATATTTGGCATGAGCCATTGAAAAGTTATCACTCCTACCTCCTCTTCCAGAAATTGGCCTCTTAAATAGTAAGGTTAATTCTGGCAACATTTGGTTATGGTAACAGTTATTTTGTCTTGTTTTCTGAAATGCTACATTTGAGACCAAATAAAATATAACTGGTTCATTTGAAAAAAGGGACTAGAAATATGCCACAAAATTATTTTTACATACATTTTTGCAGAAATAATCTCTAGGTGAAGCTTTTTATACACATATACAAAATTTAAACAGCAATATACACATAATCACAGTGAGGACACTGACAAATTCACCAATCTGTAGTGTAAATACAAACTGGAAAGCAGCCTTCCAAGAGAACAATGCTACACAGCAAGCAGAGCTGGCCCATTCAACAGCAAACACCAAAACATCCCTGCAAAAGGGAGACAGTGCAAGAAAAGCAGCATGCACTTTGATACAAACAGCAATTTATGGCTAATGGGTGACATAACTGTGGTAACAGTGACTCTCACGCTGCTATGCATATAGTCCTAGGACATCTGTTTGTCTTTATACCATTCCACAAACTCATCCAACAAGACTGGCTATGCTCCATCTTCATCGTAGTTGCTGAGGTCAAGGTTAATTGTTCTGCTGAATTCAAGTACATTGCACCACTGGTCCTTGTTAATTACTCTATATTTTGATTGCTCTAAGAATTGGTGAAAAACTGGAAAAAGGGGCCAGATTTTTCCTAATAACAGTCCCAACATGCACTTGGCAGTGTTTATGTCTAGGCTGCACTGGTCCTTTTCTCGTGCAAAGTCAAATGCGTATCTATAAATAAGCTTAAAGTTTGTAGAATCATTTAATAATGATCTCAAGCAATCCAAAGAATTTCTGAGTTTTTCTGTTGTATCACATTGTAAAGAAGTCATTCCTGTTAGCCATTCTTGTAGAGTAAAATAACCCATGTTTTGGGCGTCCAATTTCCAAGCTAGGACAGGCATAACTACATTTTCAGGTTCTACACCAATGTCTTCACAAAATTTCTCCATTCCTTCAGGACCCACAACATCCTCAGTACCTGCATATTCATGGAACCACTCTAAGCACCGCTTACTTGAGAAGGCCTCTTCTTCAGTCTTAATTCTAGTTGAATCGCATTTTCGATACATGCTATTATGTCTACTCTTCTTGGCAGATAAGTCATCTCCAGAGGCAGGTCTTCTCTTCTTCCTTGGGGGCATCACTTTACTAAAGCAGTCTGAAGAACTGCAAGACCGCAGGCTTCCTGTTTGGTGATTGTCTTGGCCAACGTTTTCTGTTAGATTTAGCTTATTAAGGGTGTGGTAGAGCTTATGAATATTTGCCAGTGTTGAGAGATGAGAGTTCAGCTGAAAGTCTGTGCAGGAGGCTGTACCATGCTCCTTCCGAGGTGATGATGATCCTTACAGGCTTACATCTTCTATGAAAATATCTCCACCTCTGGCTGGCGGTTATTGAATTCAGAGACAACAGGTCTCCCAGCGACGTCTTTCCTCGTCTACTGGCCACTTGTCTCTTTGACGTCATCAGGACTGAGCTGTCCTGTGCCACACAGAAGGTCGACTGCCAGGTGTCCCTTGTCTGCTCCTGTTCTCCAGAACACCACTTCCTCTCACAGCCCAGCCCATCCTCCTTAAAAGAGTTCAACCTCCAGCTCTCTTCTGCACACTCAGAATCAATCCCTCAACCTCTCCTGATCTGAAAGGGGAAGAGAGCAGCTAAGCTTCCAGAGAACCCTGAGTAGTTTTCCTTTTTTTAAAGTTTAGCCTCTGTTGACCAAACAGCTGCATACAGTGAGAAATCTAGGTTATGTAATAGTTACAAAAAGTTCCCCAGAGTCATGGAATTTGCTTTTCTTTGGGAGCTCAGCCCTGAGACCTTGAATAAGTCATTTCCCACTCTGGACACCCCATTCTCCAGAATCCAAATGTATCCACCTGGACTCCAGCTATCTGAGATAACCTGGAAATGAACAAAACAAAAGTTTTCACTGTTTTGTTTATGATTTTAAAAGGTGATTCATTCAACCAATGTTTGTCACACACCTACGAGCTCAGGGAGCTTGGGATCCTGAGATATTGGGAATTGCTCTCTGTCCTGAAGGAACTTGTAAATAAATTTTGCCCTTTCAGGGAGTACTGCATTTGCTTCCCCAAAACAAATGATTTAGCACTTGAGGGTATTGGATTGTGTCTTAACTATAAATCATCCATGTCTATTAGTTAAGAGAGGATACAAAGAGTTTGTTTATTCATGGCAGCTAATACATTCATCCCTCAGGACCCTGGGCTTCCAAGATCTTCATGAATACTAAAATCCATGGATGCTCAAGTCTTTTATATAAATAGCTCAGTATTTGCATAGAACCTACATATATGCTACCATACACTTTAAATCATCTGTGGATGATTTATGACACTCAATATAGTACAAGTTCTATGTAAATTCTATGTAAAAATTCTATACTGTATTATTTAGGGAAAATGGCAACAAAAATGTCTGTACATGTTCAGTGCAGTTGCAAATTTTTTCAACTATTTTCTCTTTTTTATTTTCATATAACTGACAAAATCATATATATACATTATATTTTGAAATATATATACATTGTAAATTGATCATTAGAATCAAGTTGGCTCACACACCTATAGCAATTCAATTCCTTTTTTTTTTTTCAGTACTAGGGATTGAACCCAGGGCCTTTGCACTGAGCTATATCCCTATCCCTTTTTAAATTGTTTTATTTACAGATAGGGTCTCTCTAAGTCACTAAATTGCCCAGGCAGAGCTCAAACTTGCAGTTCTCCTGCCTTACCACCTCCCCACCCCCCAGTGCTGGTTTAACAGATGTGTGTCACCATGCCCAGCTTCCTTATAGTAATTCTTAATTTTGGTCCTGGGTTGGTTGAATCTGTGGACATAGAACCTGTGAATGCAACAAGATGACTGTACTTATTTAGGTCCACTCCACACTCTATGTGATGATGATCCCAGCCCTGTTGGAAGGGATATGCTTGCCGTGTTTTGCACATGGACACTGAGACATGGACAGATTTGCTTTGAAGGAACCAGAAGGAAAGGAAGGAGTCCATCCTCTAGGTCAGCTTCTGGACTCTAGGCTCAGACCACTGTGCTAAGACTACATGAGCCAAATCCTGGGTATAGCTTGTCCCCGAATGCAATAAAATGGTTTCTGGAAGTGGACTGAGAAATTCAGATTCATACCCTTGCCTGCTTTATTCAGGGAATTTGCAGCTCTGTGCGACCTTCCGCCTACTCTAGGCACTGTACCCCAGTGGAGTAAGTAGTCAATTAGAATCCTTCAAAGTGTCCACACTCCCTGACCTTTACTGAGTGGAACAGAAGAAAATTGAAATGTCAGAGAATCAGCAATAAAGTCCAGGAAATTTCTTTTATATAATTGTTTTCCTAAATACAAAAATTAATTCATGCTTATGGTAGGCAGAATAATGTTCCCATTCCAAAGGAAAACAAAAAGTCCATGTCCTAATCCTGAATCCCTAAATCTGATATCTTATATGACAAAAGTGCATTTGCAGATGTGATTAAGTCACAGATCTTGAGATGGACAGATTATCCTGGATTATCCTGGTGGCCCTAAATGTAATCACAGTGTTATTATAGGAGGATGGCAAGGTCAGAGTGTTATTATAGGAGGTGGCAGGTGATGTCAGAGCGGAAGCAGAGATTGGACTCATGACGTTATAAGCCAGGAAATGTGATTGGATCAAGCAGCTTTAAAGATGAGGGACAGATTCTCCAGGGGACCCAGAAAATAGCAGATGCCTTAATTTTAAGGCCTTTAAGACTCGTTTCAGACTGTTGACCTCTAGACTGTAGGAAGATGTATTTGTGTTATTCTAAGCCATTAGGTTTGTAGTAATTTATTACAGCAGCAAAAAAAAAAAAAAGGAAAAAAAGAAAATGAATGGAATCCTCAATGCAGAAAATTTGAAAAGCTCAAGAAAACATAATATCTCTCTCTCTCTCTCTCTCTCTCTCTCTCTCTCTCTCTCTGTGTGTGTGTATCTGTGTGTGTGTGTGTGTGTGTGTGTGTGTAGGAGAGAGAGGGAACTCAGGATGACTTGCAGTGTCAGAGTGGTCTGATTTTAGGAAGTGTAAGATATCGAATGAGAGGGTTAGCATGGATGCTTAGAATTCTGATTTCCTTACAATGCTCTTAGTCCCTTGGAATTCAGAGAGTCTACAGAAGCAGGGAAACTCTCAGGGAGGATGGGGAGTGACCATCTGATGGCTGTGGGAGCCCAGCTTTGTACCTGTGGGACGCACTCATTCTGATGTTTCTTTCCTTTACAAGCATCCCACTACTACAAATACAAGCAGCAATTCATCTTCCCAGGTGAGTGACGTGTGAGGTGGGAACAGCCCTTCTGCACAAGCCCTGCTGAGGGTCAGGAGTTGCTAGGATGGGTGGAAGGGAGCATTCGTGGGGTAGACAAGATCAGAGAGGGTAGGAATGGGGTCCCTACACCCCGGGATAATGGCGGGATGTGGAAATGGAGAAGGTAAGTTAGGAGGTCCTGAGGGCACCATGGCATCCAAGGAGACCCCGAGCATAGTAGAAAGGCTGAGAGAAAGGCAAGGTGGGTCAGGGAGAGGTAGAGGCTAGAGGCATAGGGCAGGAGAGAGGTGGTCAGAGGAGCTCAAGTTGGGAACTGTGAAGATGTGAAACCAAGCGGTCTCAGCACCCAAAGGGAGCTCAGGAGTGAGGAGGACTCAGAGAGGAGCAACAGACACTCCAGGCCAGGTGCTTAGGAGCTCTGGCAGCTTCCAGTCAACGGAGGCCTCTGTCCAGGATGTTATCTAGGACTTTGGCCCATCTCAGCTGATGAAGGGAGGCAGGGGATTAGCCCACCCTGGGACCCATGATTGGCAAAGCATCAGTAGCTACCATGTGTCACAGGAATCAGGCACAAATCCAAAGGTAGTTGTGGATTCCATGTTTGGTTTCTGACTGTCCCATCTCTGGCTTTCAGATGTGGTGCCAGTGCCAGAGACGCCGACCCGGGCGCCCCAGGTCATCCTGCATCCGGTGACCTCGAATCCAATGTAAGTGAGGCAGAAACCTCTTTCCCCTGCCCTAAGCTTTTGGCCTTGGGTCTCCTTAGGTCCTCTGCCTTCTTTCTTCCTCTTCCTGGAATGATGGAAGGGGTGTGCAGAGGGACACAGTGGAGAGAGAAGGAGCCTAGCAGCCCAGGCTGAGACCAGTGACAAGAGAAGTGATGCTGACCCACAGGCACCAGCTTGGCCTTGTATCTCAGGTCCTGTGCCACAAGCATGATGCCCAGGGGCCAGACAACTTCCATAGCACCCCTAGACTCCCTCCGTATGATTAGAAAGAAAGCTTTCCCTAGGCTCTAGATGAACCCTAATGAAAGGCCATTTAATCTTCATCACAGTCCCCCTTTAAAAAATGTAACTTAGATTAATAGCAGGGATCAGCAGACTTTTAGCCCATGAATCAAATCCAACCTGTTGTCTGTTTCTAGAAATAAAGTTTTATTGGCACACAGCCATGCTCATTTGTTTACAATATTATCTATGGGCTGCTTTCTCCGTACAGCAGCAGAGCTGAGGAGTTGTTATGAAACCATATAGCTCACAAAGCTGAAAACATTGACTCTGGCCTTTGCAGAAACAGCTTGCTGATCTCAGGTTTATACCACTATAAATATAACCTAAGCTAATTTGGGGAGAATTGGAATATTCTGGAAAATAACCACTGACAATCCCACCATGGTTGAATTTATAGGTCCTTTTTCTAGTCATAACTTACAGCATTGTGACCCACAATAAATGCAATCATTATCCTGCTTTGCTATCTTTAATGCTATGATATCACATTTTTTTTATTATTCCAGGCTCTTCACAGACATTTTTAATGACTGTAAATTGTCCTATCAGTGTAAAGTAATTTCCCTAACTAGCACCCTAACGCTGGATTTCACATTGCTTCATATTTCACCGTGGCGAACAACACCACAATGAACATCTTTGTGTGTAGCAGCCTCAGGATGCAGACCCTCTCTGCAGGTGGCCCACTGTTTGTGCAGCCCAAGGGAAATCACCTTCTTTTATTTGTTTGGTTGTGAGTGAGGTCTGGGCTGTGCTAGGACTTGACCAGTTAATGGACTCCCATCTTTGCCTACCTGGTTTTCCTTTTGGCTCCCCTAAGTGCTCCATCATCTGTGACCCACAGTAGGATTTTGTTAAGGACCCAAATGGTACATCTCTGAAATTAAAGGAGCAGCAGTTCACCAGGGGATATTGTACTGATGTGTAGCTCCAGATTAGTTCTCTGCTTTGCATAAATCAGCGCCACAGTTTGTGCAAGGTGAACTCCGGGCTATTAACTGACAGTCATGAAGTGCCAGCAAAACACAGAGTCAGTAGCTGCCTGCAATCTGCTTAAATTTGCGTGGAGTGAGGAGAACTAACTCACTGCAGAGGGAAATAATTGAGTAGCCCTGGCGGCGGAAGTGATGACACCTTGGTGCAGAAGGAGGAGGGCTGCTGTTCTGTTGCTGGGCATGGGAGGTGGGGGACTCTGGCTGCTCTGTCCCACCTAGGACATCCTCATGCAGTTTCACTCTACCTTCCCAGGCTGTACCATCACTACGGGGTTAATATGCACCTTTGTGACGATGCTTCTTTCCATTTCTGTCAAATGCCAGGATCCCCTCCAGGAAGTGGGTTGACTATCATCTACAGGGTCAGCAGCTTGCTGGAGTCCTAGGGTCAGGTTAGGGGCGCCTCCTCCCACCCAGTGAGGAGGTGGGAAGGGGGAATCTGCTAAGATTGGAGAGCTAGGAAAGAGCCTTATATTCATCAGGACTCTTTTTCCCACTGGTTCCAGCTCTTTTGTGCCTTCAGTAGCCCTGCTGCTCTCTCCCTTCTGAACTCCAGAAACATACAATCCAGTCTGCAAAGATGGTCCCAAAATACACCCCTGATGCATACGGTGCCAGGCGTCCCCATCAATCTATGTACTTGACATTCCCCTCATATTTGTATCACCCCCACCCAGGGAAGATTTTCTTACTTCCACACCCAGTTAAAAAAATCAGCATAGGGCCGGGGATTTAGCTCAGTGGTTCCACCGCCTGCCTCGAAAGCAGAAGGACCTGAGTTCAATTCCCGGTACCAAAAAAAAAAAAGAAAAATCAGCATACAGCACTTCACAAGATCCCCAGGAGGTCCACCTGACTTACATGCACAGGACAACCCAGGCATCCCATAATGTTCATGCAGTGCTCGAGTGTAGACACACACACACACACACACACACATACACACCCCTTTCAGTCCAGCCTAGTCTCCTTATTTTCATTTCACACATCCTGATTCCATGTGATTGGCAAAGTTCAACTTAAGCACTGCGAACTTCAAACACATCCAGCAATTCTCTCTCCTTGGAATCCCCACCAGCTCTATTTATTCAATTCATACCTAACTTTTAGCCTGTGTCACATTTAGCCTCTCTGCATGATATGGTATCCACACACTTGCTTTAGTTCTTTCAGTAGTAATAGAATGTTCCTTAAAGGCAGGAGCCATACCTATTTTAATTCTGTATCGCTCTAACGACTGAATACCATTCTTGACACAGAATTCTAGTTGAATGAATGAATGAATGAGCAAGCAGATAGACAAATGAATACTTAAGATCCCTCCAAAAAATTTTGAATCTGAGTGAACTTCAGAAATCAGACCCATTATTCCCCAGTGAACACTTAGTCCTCTGAGGAATCTTCTGCACATGGCATTTAGACCAATTTATAAAGAAGCTGCTACACTATTTCAAACTAAAGCAATACAGAAAAAACAAGTCCTGAGCATCTCTGAAATCTATTTAAAATAATAACATCCTTGTGTGCCTCTTTGTGTAGTCCTAAGCATTATTTTAGACCCAAGTGTTGAAATACGAGATGTAGGCTTGTTGGCAAGGACGTCTCATTTTGGGATTCTTCATATGAGGCTAAACTCAATACATGGACCTGCCTTTTCACCTCAGGGTCACATTTCTTTTTCTTTCTTTAAAGCTTGGAAGGAAATCCATTACTTCAAATTGAAGTGGAGCCAACCTCGGAGGTGAGAATTGAAGAGCAAGCAGCGAAGCAGCTTTTTCCAGGGGCTGCTAAAGTCTTGGCAAAGCCCACTCAAGTCTTTGATGACGCAGAGAGCTGGGGGTGGGGTGTGAGGGGTGCGCTGGCCCTTTGATGGATGTTCTGACTCCAGGACAATTAACACCCAGTGCCCCTCCCTGCGCTGAGCCTAATGGGCCATTATATGTTGTGCATCACGGAAAAGCCAGTTGTGCGGAAGTTGGCAAAGGATTTGCATTCTTAGTTGAAAAATTAACTCCAGGCAGGGTGACTAGCAAGGGGGATATGCCCCGCTGCCTTCAAAATAATATATGGGAGAAGGTGGGGGCCTCAGGATTTGGGAATGTTCTTGGGCTCCTTCCCACCTGCCCAAGCCACTGAGTGAATAAATGAAATGTCCCAGGTGAGAACCATGGAGTCCCAACCTCTTGGCTCTGCCAGCATGTCCTAAGCTGAAAGGAATAGGGCAGGGTTTCCAGGGAAATGCATGTCCCTTCTGGGAGAATTGTAATCCTTGGGAAATGACCCTGGGAGAAGCCACGTTTTCTGGATTGATTCTCCCGAGTGTGACAGCTTACCCAGGGAATTTTGGGTCAGGAAAACCTGTATCCAGTTAAGAGGTGACCTGCTCAGGTCATCTTTTGAGGTCCTAGGGCCTCTGGGAATCCTCCTGGATTGAGCACCCACTGATCCCACATTCCAGCAAAAGAATCCAAGGGGCACATCAGCCCCAGGAGCCCCCAGACACCAAGCCAGGCAGGTGGTACCCAGATTGTAGTGATGCGCATGTCTCAGTGTGCTCCAGTCACACAGGTGTGCATAGTAATACAGATGCAGATTCCTGGTCCTGGAGTGCTGATATTTTGACTTGGTACATCTGAACGAGAACCAGGAATTTGTATTTTCTCAGGTATCTCAACTGATGCTGGATGCAGGTGGTCAGACAGCTCTTTATTTGATTTAAAACTTTGTACCACCCCCACCCCAGAGCAGATTTTCTTATTTCCACTTCATAATGAAGAAAGGAAGCTTCAGAGAGTGGAGAATCTCAAAGTCACAGAGGCCAAAAGCCAGCTCACTCACTCTGAGTGTTAAGCACATTCTACGAGCAGCTCATTCTCACAGCTCCTACTTTGCTCCCTGTTATAAGAGCCATGGGCCTTTGGTCTGTAGCTTTGACCTCTCCCAACTTCTGAATCATCAATTCCAGATCCTCTGCAGGAAGCAAAAGACATCCATATTGCTGGTTGTCATGCATTATATGAAGACCCGTATTTTAGCCTGTCGCCCCTATAACATGCATATTAACGGTCAGACAAGTCAAAACACATGGTATTTGGCATTGGATAGTGGGAGTCTAGGGAACTGAACCTGAGTCTCCCCTCTGCTTGGCTGTATCTCCTAGGACAAGACACTTCTCAAGGTGACCAATATCCCTGCTTTCCCAGAACTGCTAATTCCTAAAAGTTCCAGCAAAATGGAATGGGTAGTCTTCTTAGCATTTCTCATCTCTGAGCCTCAGTTTCCCCCCTTAGCACAAAAGAGTTGGACTCTCATGATCTCCTTTTCAGGCCGTTCATTGCAGTATGATTCTAGACCAAAGCCATAAAGGGAAACAGAGCTATATGTCTGCCCCGCCATGAATGCTGACAGAAATGCAGAGGTATTCGGAGCCTTCACAATGTACATGGCTCCCAGCAGGACCTTGAGGGAGGGTGGGCAGTGGTAGTGGTGGCTCTGACTTCTGCTCCCATCTGGCCACAGAATGAAGAGGGCCACGATGAAGCCGAGGAGTCAGAGGATGACTTCGAGGAGATGAATCTGTCCCTCCTCTCAGCCCGGAGCTTCCCCCGAAAGGCGAGCCAGACCAGTATCTTCCTTCAGGAGTGGGACATCCCCTTCGAGCAGCTGGAGATTGGCGAGCTCATCGGAAAGGGCCGCTTTGGGCAGGTGTACCACGGCCGCTGGCATGGGGAGGTGGCCATCCGGCTGATTGACATTGAGAGGGACAACGAGGACCAGCTGAAGGCCTTCAAGCGGGAGGTGATGGCCTACAGGCAGACACGGCACGAGAATGTGGTGCTTTTCATGGGCGCCTGCATGAGCCCACCCCACCTGGCCATCATCACCAGGTCAGTGCCCCAGCTCCCCACCCAGGCTTCGCCAAGCTCGGCCGCTGGCATAGTTGAGAAACACAGTCCAGGTTAATCAGTCATTCTGGCTAAAAGAGTGCCTCCAGGTCTACCACTTGCAGGTCACTTGCAATCAGTTCTGTCTCCAGAAAATGCTTTTAATGCTAAACTCTTTTGCAAAGCAGCGTCCTGGAGAGAACATGAATACAGAGTCAGAAAAATTGGGTCTATTTCCCGCTCTGCTCTGTTTTTATATAAAGACAGCCCTGAGACTCGCTTTTTTCATATATAAAACGAGTGGATCACACTAAACCAGGGGTCACAATTTTTCCAGTGCAGGGTGATAGTAAATACTTTCAGCTTTGCGGACCAGGTGGTTACTGTAGCAGCCATTCAGCTCTGGCACTGTCCTGTGAAAGCAGCCACAGACAATATGTGGATGGATTTGCACAGCTGTGTTTCAATAAAGCTTTATTTACAAAACCAGGTGGTGGGCTGGGTTTAGCCCATGGGCCATAGTTTGCTGAAACTCAGAGATTCTACTGAGCCATCATTGTGGCTTTTGGTGACATTGCAAAATTCATTTATAATCTTTACCTTAATTGTTCTGAATATCCAGAATCCATGGTCTCTGGATGCACAGGAGGGGACAGTTAGTAGAGAACTAACATGAAGAGAATCTCTGATGACAGTGACTTTACTGGACTTGCTCTTTCTAATCTCACCCAGTGAGATTAAAAGAAGATTTGGTTTCATTTGAACAGTTGTGAAACAATATTTTGGTGTGTTTTTAAATGCTGGTGTTTGCTGTCTTACTATATTAGAATTGGCCACAACAGTGAGGTTCTTGGTGTGGCCTGGTATGCCATAGGAGCTCTCCTCTTCCCATATTCGGATCAAGCAATAAAGATCCCAGATGCCTAAGTCCCACATCTTTGGCAAGTGTCCCAGCAGGAGCTGCGGGCTCGGAGAAGAGTTGGTCTTAGCTCTATTCCCTTGTGAAGCAAAACCTCCTAAGTCAGTTTATAAGACCTTGCTAATCATTATCATCTGTCAGCATTAATTATGCAGCTGGTGGTTGCCTGGAGCCGGTGTGTTGAATGGCAAGTGCTTGTGAAGGATTGGAGATGCAGGTGTAGACCTTCAGCTCTGCTTAAACTGGGTGAATACGGTTGAACTTCAGTTCTCCCAAGATAGAAGTGACTCTCAATTCAGGGACTGAGCTCTTCTGATTAGGCAGGGTGAGCTTGGCAAGCTTGTGCTCAGTAATAACAAAATATCCCCCAAACTTGGTGGCTTACCTCGATCCTATAGATGGTTCTTCTAGCCTGAACCATGCTCTCATAGGAGGTTGTCATTAGCTTGCAGGTGCAAGGGGACCTGGTCAGTCTTGGACACCCTTGCTCACTTGTTTGGTTCCTAGACCATCAACTGGGGTGACTTGATTCTGTTCCACATGGCCTTTATCTCTAAGGGCCTCGTTTGGGCTAATTCCCATGGTGGTCTCAAGTTCCCAAGTTTTGCAAGAGGTCAAGGTCTATTGCACAGGTGTTTTTTATACCTCACCATGTGACACATTGGCTAATATTCATTGGCCAAAGCAACACGTGTGGCCCACTGGATTCAGGGTATGGAGAAACCATTTCTACCTGTGAATGGAAGGATCTGTAGTGTCCTATTACGAAGACATGGATGCTGAGAGAGGGGCAGTCGGGGGTCGTTTTTAGCTCCCTTTCCTCTTCTTATCCAGTTGGTAGCATCTCCTCTTAGCAGGAGGTCAGGAGCCCTTCACTCGGGACGCACAAGTCTGGTGGGAAGGTGGTCTTTTCCCCACCCCTGGACTCCTTCCCACCACTCTGCTCTCAGGCTGTTACCCCCAACTCTCTCTTTGGTCAGCTTCTCACCTTCTAGTCTACTAAGCCTACTCTTTTTTCCACTCTCAGATTAGAAATCTGAAATCCATTGTCTCCTCTGCTTCCTGGCCTTTCAAAGGACATTCTGCCTCCCTGTTCTCTGACTTTTTCCGAGCTACCATGCCACCTTTTCCCGGAAACTTCCCCCAGGCTGCCTCATTGGCAGTGGATGGCCCAGTTAGCAGCCACCCTTGAAAATCGAGTGGTCATTAGGAACATGTGTGGCTCAGCCCGAAAGCCAGCTGCATTTGCAGCCCTCTTCTATTATGTCCAAACTGAGCTCCCTCCCTGCTCGCCACATCCACCTACAGATTTCACAGAGCCCGGCCTCTTCCTGGCACCGTCATAAAGACTCTGCAGCTTTGGGACATGTAATTGGTCTCTGAAGTGTTTTGGTATTTTGTGTGAGAATGCCAGATGAGCCCCAAAGAAGTGGCGTTTATTCCCTGTTATTGCGTTGGTATATATTTATCCTGGGGAGGGGTCTCTGAGCAATTCTCCCATTCAGTACCATCCACTTGTTGACCATCCAGCTTTCTTATCTGAACATTGGATTTGAATCCAACTATTTGAGTAATTTGATTAATCACTTGCACTCGCATGATTGACTGGCAGAAGTTGATGATTGGATGCTAGCCAACCAACTGGAACAATTTTTGGACCCTGGTTTTATTTTACAGGGAGCATAAGACCAGATAATTACCTAGCATACTCTGGATAAATTCACAATGGCATATTGAGCCAATTACTTAGTAATTATCATCGAAGTTAACAAGTATTTCTAAGATTAGCATCCTTGTAATGCAATATGTATGGCTCTCAGGGAATGAGTAATAACCAACTAGTTACCCAATTGGTATATCCACAAATACAATTATCGTGGGGACGGCTAAATTATTTCACGATTGGGTCATTATGGAATTATTGCAAAGCTATCGACAGTCTGCATAATTGCTCACGTTAAAAGCTTCAAATGGAATTTGAAAGCCAGTAATGCAAGAGTTGAATCAGTCTCTCGCCCTTCCGCCCAGCTGCCCGATTTCCTGGGCCTCTGTTTCTGCATCTGTAAAATGAGCAGGTGGAAGGATATTTGTTGCAGGATTTTGTTCCAACTCTAACCAAATTCTTGGGTTCTCTGAGAAGAGGCTTCCCAGACGACAGTTCCTCTGCCCTTCTGCACCCAGCCACCAGGGGAACGGGGGTGTTAAAATGCAGGTCCCCAGAAGCTACCAGCCCCCCATTCCTAACAAATTACCCCAATGTGGTGGCCTAAAACAGACTTTTATTCTCAAAAAGTTCTCAAGTCTGAGTGGATCTCACTGGACAAAAATCAAGACAGGCCTGCAGCCCTTTCCAGAGGCTGTAGAAGACACTCCATTCGTTCCCTTTCCCAGAGTCCAGAGCTACGTTCCTTGCACTCTGCAACTTTTGACCTCTCCCTCCATTTCAAAGCTAGCAGCAAAGCATCTTGATTCCATGCTTACATCGCCTTCCTCTTCTGCGGTCAAGTCCCCTCTACTTCCTTCTTGTAAGCAGAGTCATGAGTACGTTTAAGGTTCACCTGGATGATCCAGGATAATCCCCCATCTCAGAACGTTTAGCTTAATCCCACCTGCAGCCCCTTCCTGCCATCTGAGGTAGCACTTAGGGTTTCCAGGGAATAGAGCCTGGATATCTTTGGGGGCATCCTTCAGCTCTCACACCACTGTAGACCAAATAAATCCAGTCCATCTACAGGTGGAAACTTTTGCTTATCCTGGTACTGGGGACTGAACCCAGGACCTTCCAACAACTGAGCTTCACCCCCAGTCTTTTATTATTTGTTATTTTGAGACAGGGTCTTGCTAAGTTGCCCTGGCTGGATCTGAATTTATGATCCTCCTCCCTCAGCCTCCTAGTGTGCTAAGATACAGCCGGCTAAAGGTGGAGCCTTTTAAACCAGGTCCAGCCATTGTTACCACCTAGTGGGTGAGAAGCTTCTTTCTTCCTAGAAAGGTTTTTAACAAAGGTCACAGTGCCTTTGTTAGCTTCTGCTCCAACCTCTGGAAAAGAGGATTGAAACTTTAGGGTTTGATAGAGACTGAATCCTTCACATAGCTCCTTTTCTTGAAGCCAGAGGTGACCTGGCTGATCCTCTTTGCTAAACTTATTTCCCTTCCCAAAAGGTGGGACAAGCACACAACCCTCAAAAGTAAACCAGAAAAGCAGCCAATTCCACCAGCCTTCAGCAAGCACCTTGCTTCAAGGCAACCTCAGTGATTATCTCCTGTTGATCACTGTACCCATTTTACAGAGGGAACCCTGAGGTCAAAGAGGCCAAGGAAACCCTTGTCCAGGCCATAGGACAAATAAGTGGCAGGACCTGGAAGTGAGCAAAGGTACCAGTGAATGGTATCCTTGCATGGTCCTTCTTTGCCTGAGCCAGGACAAAGGGGATGGGCTTCAGCTAGGAGCAGTTCTGGGTCAGGAGAGCTGTCCAGCTCTGGTCATATCAGAATCACCAAGAGGACTTGTTACTGGCAATGTCCAGGGCCCCTCTTGCTGCAGTTAGCTTGGGCCTTTTTTTCTAGAAAGAGCCAAAAGTTTTCATGCACATCAGTTTGAGAACCACTGGGGTTTTAGAATTGACTTTCATTATTGGAGCTTTGATTCTCCATATTTATGTGCTTCTGTAAATTCCTGTGGAGCCAGGATGGCTCCTCTTCCATCCACACCCCAAATGACCCATCGAGTCAGATTCATCCCAGGGATGCAAGGATGGTTCAACATATGCAAATCAATAAATGTAATACACTGTATTAATAGAGTCAAGGACAAAAACCATATGATCATCTCAATAGATGCAGAAAAAGCATTCAACAAAATCCAACACCCATTCAGGATAAAAACCCTACAGAAAATTGGAATAGATGGTCTTTACTCAATCTTATAAAAACTATCTATGAAAAACCAATAGCCAACATCATACCAGTCAAAAAGTGAAATCAGGGCTGGGGATTTAGCTCAGTGGTTCCGCCACCTGCCTCGCAAGTAGAAGGTCCCGAGTTCGATCCCTGGTACCCAAAAAAATCCCCCCAAAAACTGAAA